AAAAGACTAGTGAGGAGAAAAGAGAAATTGCTTCCAACGTTCCTCTTCTATTTCCTCTTTGCTATGTGTCTTTCACTCTAATCTTCATCTTTCATATATAAAAAATAATATAAAATATCTAAGAAAGTTTTTATATCCTACATTTCTGCTAGAGGTTTGCTGCATTTCTTTAGAGTAGGAATCCAAAACATACGTTCAATGTCTCATTTATATCTCAGAGTCCTGCATGTTTACTACATCAGGATGCACAGGCCAGCCTCCACGAACTCTAAGTGACATTGAACTTGTGCCAGTCAGTGACTCTAGCAGAACTAAGGCAGGACTATAAGGCAGACTGGAATTGAGGGAATCTCAGACCTCTGGCTCACGACTTTGAAGAAACAACAAAAAGATTACTTACTGGCATCAGAACCTGCTTGGACTCCTTGCAGGCACAGAATCATTTTCCCAGACAAAACTCAAACGTTCTTCCCAGTAGGGATTATAGGCAGGTGGTCCTAGCAGATTTTAGCAAGACCTTACAAATCAAAACTCTCTCCGCTTTAAGGAAGCATTTATAAAATAGCAAATTTCCAGACCTGACTTAACAATCTCTGCAGTTTACATTTTCTTATCAGACATTACTTAACACTAAAGATGGGTCATTTAGCCTCAACCTGGCCCTATAAAACAGAGACTACTCAGCAACCTCTGCAGGACATCACGTGGAAAGTTTAACATCTTCATTTCGTCACTGCAGCCCCAAAGTCTGAGCCTCTGTTTAAAGAATCTATCAGACCAATAAATACTCATCTCAGCTGTCTGGTTCCCCAAGATGCTCTTGAATAACACTTCCTTTCTCACACAACAGAAATCTACGTATGCCTCACTCCATGACAGTGCACTGGTACTATTATACATTCTATATGCCACGCCTTCTCTCCTCCATTATTCCAAACTAGACTCTGTCTACCTGGTGCCTTCCCCTCAAGTCATCTTTATCTCAACAACTTCCATGGCACATTTCTCCTGTATGTATGTCTGTGTCCATATTTTTGTCTTTGTACAAGGGCTCCAGTCATCAGGCCTACCTAATCTGATATGACCTCATCTAAACAATTAAATCTGCAATGCCCTATTTCAAGATAAAGTTAGGTTATGGTTTAACTTATCTGCTTAAAGGATATAATTTAACTCACAACAGGAGCCATCTAATCAATGATTGACCAGGGTTTATTTGACTTACATTAGGGGTCAATGAAGGAAAAGGTTGACATTGTAAAAAGGATCTAAGCAAGTGGAGAGATCAGAATGTTTTTAGCAACCTAGCTGTTCAGTGGGCCAATTCAAAGTTAGGTGGAAAAGGAAGACTGTTATAAAAGTTAAAAGAACAGTTTTTCATAAAGGGTCTTATGAAAATTTGGACTCAAGTAACAAATCTGCAACAGAAAAGGAAGAAAAGGAGCATTTTATGAATTTCTATAGAGACTACAGCCCACAGCAAAGGGGACAATGTATTTAATGAACACCTATGAAATATGACTTCACTGTTGTTTTACTTTCTTGTAGTATCAACACCTCAATTTTCCTTTCCCCACTCAGTTTGTAAGGTTTGAATGGAGCAGCCTCTCCTCTGGAGATGACAAGCCTGGGGACTAATCACTTCAGTTCACATCATTCATCCGAATGATTGGATCAGGGAAGATCATGTGTTGCCAAATAACCAATGAGATTCAAGTCCATGAGCTCCTAGAATAATCTAGGTAATAGTTTCACTCCAATTTTTCTTTCTAAAATGAAAATTACCTTTTTGTGTGTGATGAGAATTTTTTTTTTTATATTTATGCATACAGCACTAGGATACAGGCCAGAGTTATAAGGGTGAGAGGAGTCACCAGAGACAGAATGAGGAGCAAAACAGACAGACTGATGATGTACTCTGCTGAGGGGAGCAGCGGGTGGGTAGGAGTGGTCTGTCATACCATGTAAGTCACCTCACTGGCTGGGGATTAAACTTGAACTGAAGTGGCTGTGGCTAAGTTTATAGTACTGCACTTTAAACCTTTGTGCCACCAGAGAGGGCGCTGTGATGGGAATTTTTAAGATCTACTCTTTTAGCAACTTTCAAGTACACAATACAATCTTATTAGCAATTACCACCATGTTATACATTAAGCCTTTAGGACTAGTCAGTGATCACTAGAAGTTTGTATTCTGTGATTAGCACCTGCCATTTCTCTCACCCTTACCCTGTCAACCACCAGTCTATTGTCTGCTACTATGAGTTTGAGCTTTGGATTCTGTATAAAAGTGAGATCATACCATTAAGTCTTCCTCTGTCTGACTTATTTTAGTTTTACAGTGACCTCAAGTTCACCTATGCTATCACAAAGAGCAGGATCTCATTTTTTATGGTTGAGTAATATTCCAGTGTGTAGGTATATGATTAGGTTGTTTCTGTCTTTACTATTATTAATTATGCTGTGATGGACATGGGGCTATAGAGACACACTAAACTTTAAAAGATGTCACCACCAAAAAAATGTAATAGTGTGAGGTAATGGATGTGTCACCTAATTTTATTTTGAAATAAATGTATATATTAAACTATTGCACTACATATGCCACAAATTATACAATATTATACATGTCAATCACATCTCATTAAAATTGGAAAAGTAAATCATACAAACAGATGTAACTCTTCATAATGTTTTGAAGACAAAATACTTTCACATAAACTATACTTAATTGTTTTATAACTCAACTAGATCCAGAAACCTAAGACACATACAAAAGAATCTTTAGAGAATCAAGAGAATCTATTCTGTCCTAATCCTCTAATCTGTGATTAGTAGATCGTGTTAGTATAAATTTACCTCTGATAATATAGAAAAAAATTGAATGATTTTTCACAACTGTCCAACTGAAATCATAAATGAGATTATTATGCTACTTGAGTTTATGTAATTTGCATGATACAGGGGTTCCTAATATTTTGCTTAAAGTCAGTTGATACAATAATCTGTAAATGAAAATTTCCTCCCTCTCCCCACAGAAAACAACTATAGCACTAAAGTGATTTAGAATAATATCTGATACTAGAACTTTAGTTAGTAAATTTTAAGATAAGAAATAGATGCTCCAAATCCATGTTTCAGATATTTAGAGATTTGTTGCTGCCTTGCCATCTATCAGCCAAAGAAATGAATAATCATTAGAAGGTATATTTTAGCAAAAATTAATTTTACAATAAATAAATAAATAAAGACACGCAGTAAATATTTAACAGTAAAAAAAAAGAGAGAGAGATAGAGAGAGAATTAATGTTGGTCTCTATCCCATGGAGATTATCCACATTAAACTGAACCTCAAACAGAGAAAAGGATGAATCAAGTAATGGAGAAATAGAAAATTGTAAATTGGAAGAGAAATAAAAGACTGGAGATAAAGAGCAAAAATGTAAAGAGAAAGAATGAGGGAGATGGAGACCTGCTGGCCTCATGATACTTTTGGTTGCAACCTTCCCTCCCCTTGTATTTTTAGCTACCTAAGCTAATAAATTTCCTTCTTCTGGCTTAAGTCAGTTTGAATTGGATTTCTGTCACCTATAACATTAAGTGTCCCAATTGACATAAAGTCAACTTGGTTCAGGCTCTACAGCTTTGAAAACAAATGAAGCCAACACTCAGTTACAGCAAAGTTGCCCAAGTAAGGACAAAGAGTCATGGCCACAGAGGCTGGGGCCTTGGGCGCAACCTCAAGTCAGTTTCTACACAAAGACCTTGAAAATGAGTGGTATAGGGCTCAACATAAGAAAGCCTGTTTTAATAACACCTAAGTCATCTGGGGAGTCCATACACAGCTAGAGTAATTGACAAGGTTCAACTATACTAGCGTGATCACAAGGCCACAAACTGTCAGTATTATGATTAATGGGAAATTATTTGTATCATTAGCTGAAGAGTGCTAGGGAACATTTCCATTACAAGTCAAAAATAGTGACCCAAAAATGCCCCTCGACAGGTTGTTCCATTGAGATTCAGATTTCTTTCCTTGTATGCAAGAATTAGAGTTAGCTTCTCTCCCTAGATTAAACACTTAGAACAAAGGTCAGAATAAAGAGAAAAGCCCAGGGAATGTGGAGTTGAGCATGTACATATGTGCAAGTGAGCACTGCAGGGACTGTCTAAATGTGGGTTGTCACATGGGTACAGAATGAAGTTGAACACCAACTTTATGGCATCAAACAGTTGGCCATGTATTTTTCCTTTGTATGTTCTAACTAGGGTTCGGCTTAACAAAAACTTCTGGAATGTCCTTGGATTTTATTTCTAAAAGTCAAGGAAGTATTTCTTTTTAGCACTGTGATTTAAGGGAACATAATATCAATACCAAGTGAAGGGTCAATGAAAGGAAGCCAAGGTGTCACCAAAAGTGAACTTTTAAAGACAGATGTGCATTTTAATAGCAAACTAAACAACACAGGATTATAGAGGTCTACAAATTATAAAGTTCAAAAGTGAAAACTTCACTTTAGTTCTGAGGACAGGATCAAAATGTAAACCACAAACATGAAGGCCTCTCATGAAAATCTGAATTGAGAACATGAAAGTTAGCATGTACAATTGTGAAAATAAGTGCACAGATATGGAAAAGTTGCTTCCAGATATGATTATAGAAAGCATGTCTAATTTCTTCAGCTTAACCACTAGATATGTGTGTATAATATACATATATATTAAGCAGTGCATTGTATCATTTTGAGTAATAGTCATTTCACCAGCAATAAGCTCCACTGAAAGGGCAATCATAATAAAAAAAAAAAAAAAGGCAAATTAAGGTCAAAATCTATGCTCCAAAGAAATGTCTCCAATGGCCTCTCTAAAATCTGAATGTTGCCAGGCTCAAGCTGGTTATCTAAATTTTATAAACAAATATTGTCTTAAGCAGGCTTAATCAGCTACTTAGCTGCAAGAATAAATGTGCAAACAGTGTGAAGTGCACACACAGGCACTCACCTTTTCTCCCCTGAGGATCTTGGCAGTTTTCATGAATGCACAGGCCCCAGGCTGACCAGGAAGACACAATGCAGTCTGTAGAGCAAGGGATATTGCAAAGCTGAGAGGCCGGAGGGGCAGGTCCCAAACATAATGTCTTTTCCACAGGCCTCAAAACTGAAATACAAACAAATAACAATAATAATGACTCATCTCACATTCTCTGAACAACCCTACAATTGTTTTTCTTTACTTGTGTGCTTTTCTTCCCCACTTCAGCTTTATGGTTCAAAGAAGAAGAATATGCAAACAAAACATCAACACTCTAATACTGCTTTGCTCCACATTATTAGTATTTTGGGTGAGGAAAGGCAAAACAAGACAGCTCTAAAGGGCACAGTTTCATGCTTCTCAGACAATTCCTTGGGGGTCCAAATCAGACTACAAATACAGATACAAATTATCTAGAGTTATGATTTAAAAAATAAATAAATAAAGGGCTTTGTGAAGTTTCAAGATGAGTCTATCTCCTCTATATAAATGGCTGGGTTGCTATGAAAAATCAAGATTGAACCCCCGAGGTGGGGTGTTTAGCATAACCAATCTACTGCTGTTACTCCCCTGAGGGGAGGAGCTCTCAAAGACACAGAAGAAAAATGGTTCTTAGAATAAGAAAAATCAGGATCTAGGACTCCAGAATTAGCCCCAGGTAGTCAATTTCATTAGTGAGACTACCCAGAGGCACAAGGAGTGTCTGAGAAGTCATAGGGGAAATGAGAGTTGGAGATCTTCTTCTGAATGTGCCCAGAATGGGATGCTTCAGGATGCAGTGACCACCTGTCTATCAGCACATTCCCCAAGTGCCTTTCCCACCCATTCTATGCATGAAAACATAAAGGAGGAGATGACAAAGGCCTGACCCTTGTGAAGTCTGTAACAAAATATGAGCTGGTTAGCAATACTTAAAAGCAACACAGTAGAAGACTCAGCTGATTGCCTGGACTACACAGCCGGAGCCCACACTAAGGTTTTTGAGCAATTCAGAGCTTGTGAGCAATTTCTGCCCAGATAATTTTATCCTATGGACTGGCTAACTATACTGTCTAAACTTTTCCTGGATACCATTTGCATCCAGTTAAGCAGGTTTATAAAGACACTAAAGGAGAGAAGTGGATAGGGATTCACATCATCTCCTTTGCTTCCTCCCTTTTAACATGTGATAAGTCTGGTAAGGATGACTATAAATCACTGCTCTTACCAGCAGAACTTTGAACATTAATCAAAACAAGAGCAAAATAAAAAAAAAAAAATGCTATCATAAAGAAATTGTAACCCATGGGGAAAAGTGTTTCTAATGAACAGTGGGCAGTCTGAGAGATATGAAGGTGACTGGGAAAAGGCAAAACGTTGCAAAGAAAAGTAATAATGATGCTTTGTCTGTAACTAATTCTTTCAGAGTTTGCTGAAAGGAATAAAAGACAGGGCAAAGCAAGACTTGTAAAGTAAATGTCAAAGATTGCAAGCCATGTGGGAGCAGGGAAGGGAAGAGCAATTAGGTAATGTAGAAAAAATAAAGGGGTGACTTGAGAGGCTGTGGGAAGGTGATCAGCAGTAGAGCTGGTGTGGAACAACAGAGTGATCAGGACAAGAATGGGATGCTTATGTGGCACTGATGGACTGTGGCTACAAATGAGCCTTCAAAACCCCAGGAATGGGATTTGTGTGTGCTAAAAAGAAAATATGTATTCTCTAAGTAAATAATGAATTCATTCCCAAATCACTGAGATCCTATTCAAAATCTGCCTCTTTGGTTGACGTCTGTCTTCAAGGGCTCTCAGTCTTGAGGGATAAATCAGGTAGCAGAGTAACACAACTGATGGGAAAAGATGCTTCAGAGCATTATCTAAGTAGCAAACAGCATAGTCAGAGGTCTTAGGGCAGGAGTGTGCTTCAGTGAAGGCCCATGCATGTTAGTGCGTGTCCTTACAAATGCAAACTTTGGGTCCAAAACAAACCTTCAGATATGATAGGAGAGATAGTGGGGCATACAGACAAGTTAATCTACTTAGTCAAAAAAGATTTCTCATTTATGCCAGGCATTGGCTATAAGCATCAATTCACCTAATTTGCATAATTCCTTTTGAGATATATAGTAGTGTTATCCCTAGTTTAAAAATGAGGAAACTGAGACACCAAAATACTTGCTCAATTTCCCAGTTTGTTAGCAGTGGAGCTTGGATTTGGCTCCAGATGGTCAGTCTCCAAAGTCTATCTCTTAACTACTGCACTATGGAACCTTAGTAGTCACTCAGACTACATTGGATAAATGCCTACAAAGTGTGAACAGTATTAAGGGTTGAAGTCATAACAGTGAGTAAAACAGACAAGATCTCTCCTCATAGAGTTCATATGCCAATATGAGTTCAAACTAATCATACACCAATGTATGAGCTCCAACATGAAAGCTAGAAAAACAGTTACTGCTGCCACTCCTTTCTATGTCAAAGATGTTTGCCTGCAATGCTAAATGACCTTAAGGGATTGATGATTAATGCTGAGAAAATATTTCAAACCTCTCAGCTCTGAAACCCAGCATACATGTTACCATAACCTCCTTGAGGTTGTACTTCCAATTGAAATTCGTCCATCCACCACAAGTACAACACTCAGCACACAGTAGATTTGCACTAAATATCATTAGAAGCTCCAGAATGTCTATGCAGATAAGGCTTCAGGTAGGCAGTGCCAGTGGAAAGAGACCAGGGAACTTGGCCTGAAGGTACATTTGTTAAGGACAGCACTATGCAGGAATTATGTCTGTTTGCTTTATTAGTGAAGGACTGGTGAGGATGATTAGGATGTGTCAGTCAGTTGACCATTAGATACTGAGGCTAATGGCATTCCTAAGACTTAGAAGAGGAATATGATGTGCTGGAGAACAGGAAGAGATTCCCTAGGAACAACTAAGTGACGTAATTACAGGCCCACCGGCAGAAATGAGGTCATTTGTTGAAGCACCCATGCCTCTTCAGCACCTATATTAGACAGTCAATATATCTTAATTCATATCAATAAATTTTTCTAGTCATAGGCAATATGTCTTAGATGCTTCATTTAGGCTTTACATCAATGTACTTGGGTCCACCTATATCTATCTCAACCTATATATGTAGCTCCCTGGACTACCTTTGTTCTTGAAATAAATCACGGATAAGTCACAAAGCACTTATCAGTTTCAGACCACTTAGGTAGTCATCTTCTCAAGAATAGTGAGGACAGGATATTATTATACCTACTGACCACTAGAGATGGAAGACAACTTTATAGCTAATTTAGTTTAATTTGTCAATTGTCCTGAAAAATTGAGTTCCAAAGAATTGAGGTGGTTTATCCAGGTTCAATCAGTAAAAGCAGAGTAAAACTTGAATCTTGTCCCAAGAGATTGACTAATTACCTCTTTTCATTTCCTTTCCAAGAATAAAGGCATCATGTAGAACAGATGAAAACTTTTGTACCAACATTTTTTGTTTATAAATAACAGTGACCACACAAAGGACCCAGGGACAGCACAGATCCAAGTTGCCTACTCATAGAGACTACAACTTTACCCTTAAAACAAAAATCAAATCATTCCTTCCCCTCCACAACTACTTTGAAACTCCTTCCAAACTCCTGTCCAGATTTCCCCTTCATACCAAGCAGAAGGTAATGAGTCCAAACTATGATCCACTTCAAATGACTTTAATTCCTTTATCTGTGGCTATTTCTGTTGCAATAAAATTTTCATGGGGATAGGTGGGTCAGATCTGAAGTCAGCCACTTGGAATCGAAGATTCATTATAGCCTAATGATGGAACCCTCACTTTTTTCTGGGGCAAACTCCATACATGATGCTTGTAGAAGAATTGTTGCATTTCTACTACCCTCCACTTCTTTCTCTGGATCTACAGACTAAAATAATTTTCTGTTTACTAACCCTGCCTTCTTTTTTTAAAGGTTTATTTATTTATGCATATAAGAACTGGGGTACAGGCCAGAGAAGCAGGAGTGAGAGAATGCACCATAGAGTTGAGAGCAAAACAGGCAGATAGACTGAAATACACAGCTGAGGGGAGCAGTGGGTGGCACAGAAGAGGTTTGCTGTGCCATCTGGGTAAACTCCTTGGCAGGGATGGGACTTGTGCTGTGGTGGCTGCAGATAGCTTCAAAGTGCTGAGCTTAACCTATTGGCCACCAGGGAGATCCCCTAACTCTTGTCTTCTTTAGTGCAATGAATCCCTGTTGCCATCATGCACCTATTTGGTGTCGTAGGTCTGTGTCTGTCACACTTCTCTCCAGTTGCCTTTAGACCATGTCACCTTGAAGTGCTGCCATTTCTGCATCACCCAACTGCCTGTGTAGATAGCAATTTCCAATGTCTCCTAGGCTATTAAGTTTTGGTAGGTAACACTGTTAGTCTCTACAGAGATCTCTCATGGTCATGAAGTATTAAAGAACCAAAATAACTTATTGCTTGGATAAACTGAAATCACTAAGGAGCAGTAAGCTTTCTGAATGCTAGGGAAATATATTACAGTGACTGTACAAATGCAATGGTCATTAGTACTTTGGATATTTTGGTGCCTAACCTAGGTTTTTCATTTGCAATAAGAAATTATTAAATTGACCTGCCTTATAAGAAATGTGGAAGTCTGCTACTAATGATTGCAAAGTCACCTTAAATAATGAGTTACTCCCTGACCAGAATGATAATTAATGAGGGGGAAGTATGCTGGGTAGTTGATATGTTTAATGCTTAAAAATAGCCTTAATTCTAGAAATGTACAAAGTTCATGATGTTTTTAATGACAAGGTGATTTCAGATGAGCACACAAATTCAATCAAAATAAATTGCAATTAAGAAGAAAAATGCCTGTTGTGATCCTTAGTATGTGACTGACATTGTAAAGAAAAATGAGTACTTTCACATTTTATTCCTCGAAACTAAATCAAGCTGCAATACAACATAACTTGAATTAACATGAAATATACAGGCAAAGATGCAGTAAGAGAGTAATCTCCTTCCTACTTCTACTGATTGCCATTTTATGGGAACTAAATATCAAACCCTTTAACTACTGGAAAAGAAATTAATCTGAAGCTCTATATTATAATATTAAATCAATTATAATTAATAC